AAAATCAAATACGAGATGCTTAAAAACCTAGGAACACTTGAAAGAAGAATACTGTATCAACTTATGAATGTATACTTAACCTACGGTACAACTCCAGCAACATGGAAAGAAAGTCTACTCTACCCAATCTCAAAAGGAAAAGAACAGCAAGATATTTTAAGCAATACTAGACCTATCATACTCCTAGATGTCTCAAGAAAGTGCCTCACCAAGATAATTACAAACCAACTATCAGCCATATGTAAAATACACAATATCTTAAAAGAACCAAACTTCGCTGGCTTACCAGGAGAATGTACATCAGAGCCTATACACCTAATAAACAACATCTGTGAAGAAGCTCGAGAAAAGAATAAAGAACTGTGGATTTTATTTCAAGATACAGCCAAAGCATATGACACGATTAGTTTAGATATGCTACGAAGAGCTCTTTTAAGAATCAAAGTTCCAGGAAACCTCATAACATTAATTTTGGATCTCTTCATCAACAGATCAATTCAAATAATTACCGACGTGGATATAACTGAAAGAATAGTCGCAGGAAATGGCATAGATCAAGATGAAACTATTTTCTCCTTACTATGGTACATCTTCTATGATCCGCTACTATGTGAAATCTAGAATAATACCCAACTAGGATACACCATGAATTGCAAATGGAAGTCCGATCTAAGCAAAGAAGAGGATGCACAATACCTTACAGTTTGCCAAGCAACAATAGTATACATGGATGATACTACATGGATTGCTAGATCAGTAGAGGACATGGAAAATATTCTGGAAAGAGCGAAGTGATTTTATTCAGCCAATGATTCTCAAATTAATGGAAGCAAATCGGTCCTGATTACAATTAACAGCCGCAACAAAGAACCAAATTCAGTACATATAGGAATTGATCAACAAGAAGTGATGGAAAGCGATCGTAACAGCTTCACTAGATTCCTAGGTATATGGATAGGAAGTAAGAAGCATACCAAAGACACAGTTTATCGAATCAGACAAGAAATCGAAGCAGTGGTACCAATTTTGAAAAGAAAGAAGATTATAGATAAGCAAGTGGAATATATTCTAAACAGAGTTCTAATCCTCTGGATAGAATACAGAATGCAACACTGCTTCATTAAACAAAATATCTGTAATAAACTGACAGTTCAATTAAGAAAGGCATTCAAACAAGCCGCAGGAATAGTTTCAACAATTCCAAATTCGGCCATACATCACAAAAAGATCTACAATATAAAGAGTATTGAAGAGATTCAAGCGGAAAATCAGATCTCAAATTTGTTCAATAGATTTAATAATATAGGACCATCCAGCATATCCATACTAATTCGTCTCAAACAAGCCCAAATCTACAATTGGGAGCCTGGCAACATACTGTGAAAGGAAAATTGCATGGTCACATGAGTCTATGCAATGATGATTCTAAAAATGATAAATCTGAGAAAAATGAGATATCTGTAATATATTTCTTTTCTTTGATTTCTTTGATTTCTTTGATTTATTTCAGATATTTAATATAGTTGAGAAATTAGATATATTCACGATAGTAGATATAGTTGATATAGTTAATATAGTTGATATATCTAAGATAATTTTTTGTAATTAGCATGTATATAAAGCAAGCGAAAATGTCTGAATAAATAATTAACAATTTAACATCTAACAATTTTGACATCTAATTGTTCAAATAAACTACTTTGCAAATGTGTTGATATTTGAAGGTGAAACTGTGACCATAAAGGACTTTGGAAGAGTTTCAGAGTAGTTTGGAAGTGTAAATACTTATTGCTATAACAGGAACTTAGGTATAGTTTGAGTAGACGAATATGCATGCTAATGGATGAATTTGAGTTTATTTTTTGTAGATAGAGTAGAATACTCGGACCAAATTATTGCGCCTCAGCTTTACAAAACTTAATTAATAGAGAGGACCTTGAAAGACCCTCACAATACTGACCAGCAAAATCCCCCGATCTTTCAAATGCTTCAAAAACTTCTTAGCTTAGGTACTCAAGGCAGCTAACAACTTGGGAATCACAATATTCAATTCTCGATGGTCAAACAGCTTTGATTGGAAAGGAGGGTCATTGTCAATTAAGAATAAGCTCAATGATACAGAATTATATCTCAAGGCAGTCCCTTCGCTAAGAAAACACAACATTATGTTCATGGACCAACTTATTGATAGAGATACAAAGACAATATTACCATGGAAGATTATACAGATTCTATCTAATTCTAGCAAAGGACCCATACCATCCTGATTTAAAACAGTCAAATCTTTATATGCAAATGAATATGGAGTTTTAAATGAGAAATGGCAAGACTGGAATTGGAAAGAACAAGATAGAAGATTTTTCTCAAAAAATTTAAATAGCAACCGACGTCGATGGAATTGGAAAATTATAGCCAAAAATACAGACGAGGAAGAAATCACATGGTATAAAAGTAAAGGCAATACAGGCCTCAAAGACCCCCAAACAGAAGTTTATCAGATTAAAAGAGGATCCAAACTGGACTCAATTAAACTTCAAAAAATAAAAACCACGCCACGACCAAATTCTATAGATTCAACAGGAAATTCATTGGATCAAATAAATCCTATTGGGGGCAACAAAAGATCACAGAGTAAGCCCCTAGCTGTGGAAATCCTTAATCAATATCCAACTCTAAGAAAGTTCTCTGAATTAGAAATCCCAATCAGTCTTCATGTTCTGGAAAACCAAGCCAAGAAAGCAATAGAGGATTTTACAGAACGAAGGATTACCAACAACTGCATAAGAGTGATCGAAATAGAAGACTTCAGAATACAAATGATTAAAGACCATATCTGCTCTTCAGAATATATTCAAGCACTTGTTGAAGAGTATAGAATAAACAAATACAGTAACTACCAACAAACCTATTGCTTTTATACAGATGGATCGTTTGGAAAGGCAAAAGATCTGACATTAAGAATGGATGCAGCATGGTTACAAGAGAAGGGACCAAATCCTAGAAGATTTTTTCAAGCAGGAGTAGACAACTGGCCTTCAGCATTGCGAGCAGAACTAGTAACAATTATTCTGACACTCTTAGTTATACCACAAAAAAGTCAAGTAGAAATTAGAATGGATAATAGTATATGTATTAGCACTCTTCAAAAGCTACAGAATCCACAGATCAAAGACACGGGAAAATGGAACAGAAAGTGCAAGAACTGGCAACTATGGATAAGATATATTGACCTAATACAGAAGAAACAAATTACAATTCAAATGATCAAAGTCAAAGCACACAGTAATGACACGAATAACAATAAGATAGATCTGCTAGCAAAAGAAGCTAAAAAAGAACCTGAAATTATATGGACCAAGTGGTACCGACAAGAAGCCCTAACGACACTCTGTTGAAATGAAATATCTATAGATATAGGAGCAAGAGACTTTGTTAAGGAATTATACAAAAGAAATATCTTAATGAAATGGGCGGATCAAAACAGAATACAAAAAAGATGGTTAAAAGAGATTAATGACCATGAAAATTTCGACTGGAGAGAATTCTGGAAAGCAAACAGAATAGAAAGAGCCTTAGAAACATTATTAAAGAAAACCAGAGAAAAATCCTTCCGAATCAAAATGATGCACAATGAGTTTCTAATTCTGGACAATATGAACAAATGATTCCCCAAGAAATATGGAAGCTTAATTGAATGTATATATTGTAGAAAAGAAAAGGAATCTCTCGAACATCTCCTTTCATGTCCTGATACTGTAGAAATCTGAAAAGAAATCTGGAATGAAGCTAAAGATCTAGTACTAAACAAATGGTCAAACAAGACTCAGGAAAGAAAAAATCAAAACTCAAGAATCCACATCAATATATTGCTAGCAAAGTGATACATAGACAAGTTTTTTTAAGGAAAAGATATTATAAACTTCATTCTTGAACTATTTCAAAAAGAAGACATCATGGAATGGAGCTTAGCGATGGCAAAATTTAAAGTCAGGAAGGGCAAAGCAAAATTCCTATTACTCAAACTGTCAAGATCAGTTTGTAAACAAGTTAGAAAGAAGATATGAAATGACAGATGCTCCAGGCTACAAGACTCAGGAAGAAAGCCAGAAATGAAGAAGCACTGGAAAAATAATCATACAAAAACCTGAAAAAGACAAAAAGCAGGATCAGAAGAACAAGAAGATTATAGAGCAAAAGATCCTGCAGATCAAAAAGAAGTCATGAATGAAGAGCCTAAGCAAAGTCAAGAACAAAGCGAAATAGCAGTTTGGAGATGGATCAGAGAAGGGAAAAAGTGATTAGAAATATAATAAGTAGTCTAGATTTGTTCAGATAAACCATAGTGATGAATTGCGGGTGATGATTCTTACCTTCATATTTCAAAAGTGAATAGAAGGTTAAGATAGTAACTTTTTTTATCTCCAAAGTCATACCTAGAGATATAGTCTAAGATGGGTATTCAAGGCAATAGATAGTTTATGCAATACAATGTATCATACATTATTTGTTTTCTGTAAAGATTTAATAAACATATGCACTTGTTTGACTACAGAAAAAAAAAAACAAAACTTTGAAGCTCTCTGAAATTAGTTTGTTTTTTATTTAAACAGTATAAATATTTTTTTCAAAAAATTGAATTATCATTTCATCTATTGAGATATTTAAATTTGATATATAGAGTTGTTTTGAGATATTTTGAATATATGAAAGCAATAACTACATTTTTTAAAATAATATTGATGATAATTGTTGAAAAAGATATATGCAAATAACTTTTAATTTGTTTAAACTATTTTAATGACATTTGTTTAGAAATATAGTAAATAGGAAACTTTATATTCTTATTTCAATATTGATTGAGAAAAGACAACTTAAAAAGTTCCAAATAAATAACTAAAAAAATTCAGATAATAAGTTTATTATAATTAATATTTCATTATTGTTTATCAATAATACTAGCATCTTTTATTAATGTATATAAATTCATATTAGTAAAAATTATGTCTAATATAGTGCTTATATAAAAAAAGTAAAAAAAGATTAACTGGTTTAGAAAAATTAATTTTGTAATATAGAGGCAAATGAACAAATACCTGATGCAATGGTTTTAGATAAACAAACAGTCAAAATCAGAAGATGATGATAAAAATTTTTGTATAGCTTTTATTTATTTATATTTAAAAAGTTTTTAAAAAGTATATTAATAATTAATAATTTATTTTATACACTATTAATTTAAACTTATATATTTACTAGATCTTGATTTAGTAATCTTGTGGCTATCCATAATTAAGATTTGTAAAATATTATTATAAAAATCAATTTTAATTATTCTAATCACCTGTTTTTATCAATTTTTAGAATATATTATTAGTATAATATAATATTATTATTCTTATAATATGTGATCATAATATTCTTTTTTGAATTCTTAATTAATTTTGTTTTAATCTTTAATAAGCTTATTTGGCTTAATAATTTTTGCTTATTTTTTTCATTATTTGTAACTGATAATTTTATTTTGTTTAATTCATATTTTAAGCTTATAAAATATTAATGTTAAAATAAATTTCAAATATTAGATTGGAATAGATTAGTTATGAATATATATTTTTTTTGTTAATGTTGTACTATAAAGTCTATTATATCAAAAGATATAAATTTGTAGACTTTTATTAAAGTTAGATCAAAAGTTTTTTTTTATATAACTTTTTTTGCTTTAACTTATTATTTTAATTTATAATTATCAGAAAAATTAAAGGTTTATCTTTATATAACTTAATTAAATTTGGATTGAATCCAGATATTTAAATATAATATTTATAAAAAAATCAATAAACTTATAAATAAAAGATAAATTTATATATTTTATTCCTTATAGATATTGAATTAAGAACATATATTTGAAAACTTGAGAGCATTATTTACTATACTATTGATTTACAGATTACTATAGAATTTGTTATTAAAAAAGAATATAAACTTATATTAAAATTAAATTAGAAAAAAATCTTTTTTTACATAATTTTTTTTTGTTTCAACTTGTTTTTTTAATTTATAATTATTAAAAAAATCAAAAAATTCATTTTTATACAACCTAATTAAATAAGAATAGAATCTGAATCAATAAATTTATATATAAAGAATAATATATATTCTTAGATTCACGGGTCAATTTAATAATATTATTATTTTAATATATTTAAAAAAAATTTTTTTTATTTATAAATATATAAAAATCATTACAATATACAATATATAATTTAATTTAATAGAATATTTATCATCGGCGTAGTTGGAAGCTGCGCTTTTTGCCACGTTTCGGCGCAGTTGGAAGCTGCGGTTTTTCCGTAGTATTCACGTGAGAGAGAAATACTATAAGTAGTAAAATAATTTCATCGCTACACTACGCCTTCAATAAGTTAATTTATTCTACGGGCTTCAAGCTAATTCTATAGTAAATTCACTCGAAAATTTAGAAATGGCAGTTCGTAAGTACACCTCGAGATCTATGTGTCAAATTCTCTGAATCATTTTACATTGATTAATCTTTTGCAGGCGCGCAATTTGAAAATAGTAACGATATCGGCGTCTTTGCCCGTCTTACTAACTCTTACTGTTTAGTTGCTATCGGCGGTTCCGAAAATTTTTATAGGTTTGTTCTTCATTAATAACGTTTTCGATCATTCGAAACTTACCGACATAATATGTTTTCCGCATAGCGTCTTTGAAGGAGAATTAGGTGATATAATTCCAGTAGTACACGCTTCTATAGCTGGTACTAGAATCATTGGTCGTTTAACTGCCGGTTAGTTTATTCATTGATTCTATATTAAAGAATAATTTATAAATTGGGATGTTAATAATTAAAAGTTAAAAATAAATAGGCAACAAAAAAGGACTTCTTGTTCCAAATACGACAACTGATCAAGAACTTGATCACCTACGCAACTCTCTTCCCGATTCCGTCAAAATACAACGTGTAGAAGAGAGGTTATCTGCCCTAGGGAACGTCATTGCATGCAACGACTATGTTGC